GCTCATTGGATAACATTTAAAAAGCGACATGGTCGGTTTTTTACGCGTTTTTAGACCAAACATTTAAACGAGCCTGATGGGGAGTCACTCGCTTTTAGAGCCTCAAGTGGCCGTTTGAGGAACTGCAGTTTGACGCTGAGTATGTGACTCACATGTGGAGAGAGGAGTTCACTTCTTCAGCTCTTTTGACAAGAAATGCCAAGAATGCCTTTAAAATAGAAGTTATAACTTAAAAAACTTGAGAATTTAGAGCAAAGACGGCGGTGCACGTTTAACAGCCACTTGGAACAAACTGCACCCGGTTGCTGTTTCTCTCCTTACTGGTGATGAAAGTGGGAACAGAGTTTAGCTTCTGTTCTTTCCTGATTGGTCTCGTCCTCCTCTTCCTCCTCCTCTTCTGTCCTCACAGCGTTGTGGAATGCGTCCGCTTTGGGCTGAGAATGTGCAGCATGAACGAGGCGACTGTACGTCACCTCGTTGTTGGATAAGAGAGTAAAGTGTGAGGTCGCGTTAACACTCAGAGCGCTGCAGCTCTCATTAAAGGAGCGGTTTGCTTCAGTGGGTGATTTGTTCTGTTTGTTTAGAGGGTAAATGTGTGTTTGTTTGTTGGAGCTTATCTGAAATATGACATTTATTAGAAAGTCTCACAACAAAAGGTTTGGGAACCTCGGGTTAACTTCTACAATACAAAGTACTTCATAAGATATCATGTTTAAAACTATGTAGCAAAGTAAACAGTATAGACTGTGGAGGAATTATTAAGTACTGTACTTAAGTACGGTTCTGAGGTACTTCACTTGAGTATTTCCATTTTATACTATTTATTTGACATCTTTAGTTCACAGATATTAGATTATTAATACAGAATATAAATCAACTAATAAATGATGATGTATAGTTATAGATTAAACTACCAGGAGGATATGAATCATTAAAATGAGCTCCACAGATAACTGATCTCATGAAACTCAAATAATCTTCTTTCACTCTGAGAAGACTCGTCGACAAATAGATTCTTAGTTTTACTTGTTTGATCTATTTTACTTGACGATTCACGATCCTTTCCTTCCCTTAACTCTCCTTTCCTTCACTTAATTCCTCTTTC